AAAACATGTTTTCTAAATCACCAACTCTCAGGGATCAACCCCTTCTTAAAAAAGCCTCAAAACTCCTAAAAATCATTCAAATCATTCAGAGATTTCTTTCTCAGTTTTAAAAAGACTAAAAAAGGTCCTCAAAACATAACCAAAGTAGAAAAAAATATTTCTAAAATCAACAACCCCCAGGGATCTACCCCTTTTTTGGAAAATGCCTCAAAACTTTTTTGAATCGTTCAAATCACTCAGGGATTTTTTTTATCAGTTTGAAAATGACTAAAAATGTTTTTTAAAACATTCACAAAATCAAAAAAAAAGATTTTCAAAATCACCAACCCCCAGGGATCTACCCCTTTTTCGAAAAATAACTCAAAACTCTATAAAAACAATCAAATCATTCAGAGATTTTTTGTCAGTTTTAAAATGACAAAAAAAGTTCTCAAAATATCTCCAAAGGGAAAAAAAAGATTTTCTAAACCACAAACTCCCAGGCATTAACCCCTTTTTCGAAAAAATGCCTCAAAACTCTTTAAAATCATTTAAATCATTCAGAGATTTTTTTCTACGTTTAAAAATAATTGAAAATGTTTCTTAAAACATCTCTAAAGTAAATAAAATAATTTTCAATATCGCCAACCCCCAGGCATCAACCCCTTTATATAATAATAACTTGAAACTTTTTAAAATTATTTAGAGCTTTTTTTCGTAGTTTAAAAATGACTTAAAATGTATCTTAAAAGATTTGCAAAGTAAAAAAAAATAATTTTAAAATCACCAACCCCTAGGGAATAACCCCTTTTTAGAAAAATGCCTTAAAGCTCTTTAAAATCATTCGAATCATTCTGAGATTTTTTTCTCAGTTTTTGACTGAAAATGTTTCTTAAAACATTCCGAAAGTAAAAAAAATATTTTCAAAATCACTAACCCCCAGGGATCAACCCCTTTTTCGAAAAAATGCCTTAAAACTCTTAAAAATCATTTAAATCATTCACAGGTTTTTTCTCATTTTAAAAATGACTGAAATTATTTTCAAAACATTCCCAAAGTAAAAAAAAATATTTTTAAAATCACAATTTCAATGGATCACCTTTTTTTTGAAAAAATGTCTTACAGCTCTTGAAAATTATTTACTTCATTTAGAATTTTTTTTCTTCTAAAAATGACTTACAATTTTTAAGACATATTTCTTATCCAGAAAAAGTGATTTTTTAACTGATTAATCACTTTGGAGATGTTTTGAGAACTTTTTTTGTCATTTTAAAACTGAGAAAAAAGCTTTGTATGATTTGAATGTTTTTATAGAGTTTTGAGTTATTTTTCGAAAAAGGGGTTGATCACTGGGGGTTGGTGATTTTTAAAATCTTTTTTTTTGATTTTGTGAATGTTTTAAAAAACATTTTTAGTCATTTTCAAACTGTTAAAAAAAATCCCTGAGTGATTTGATAGATTCAAAAAAGTTTTTAGGCATTTTCCAAAAAAGGGGTAGATCCCTGGGGGTTGCTGATTTTAAAAATATTTTTTTCACCTTGGGTATGTCTTGCGAACCTTTTTTAGTCATTTTAAAACTGAGAAAAAAATCTCTGAATGATTTGAATGATTTTAATGAGTTTTGAGGCATTTTTTCGAAAAAGGGGTTGATCCCTGGGGTTTGGTGATTTTGAAAATCTTTTTTTTCACTTTGGGAATGTGTCTGATAACATTTTGTGTCATTTTAGGGACAGAAATAAATGTGTTGACTTTTTTTTTTGTTTTTTGATATGGGAAACAATGTTTGATTTGATTTGACTTTTTGGGGGTTGTTTTACCCCTGTATTTTTGTTCCTATTGATTTTTGAGAAAAATTGTATTAACACTTTTTGATCGGGATATAAAAAAGTACTAAAATTTTAAGTTACTGCCAATTCTGACCGGGGCCGGATTTCCCATTTAATTGTGCGGGGTCCTTTTAGAAAATAATTGAATTTTATTTCATTTTAAATTGAAAACTTGGTAAATAATTAAATTTTAAATTGAAAATTTTGGATAATTATTGAATTTTAATTGATTTTGAATTAAAATTTTGGGTAATAATTGAATTTTAGTTTATTTTGAATTGAAATTTTTAAAAAATAATTTAATTTTATTGTGATATTTTTTTTAAATTATAAACAATTGTTAAATTTCATAAAAATTTTAATTGAAAAATAATTTTGATATAATTGAATTTATGATGTATTTCATTAAAATTATTAAAAATAATTAATTTAGTGAAGAATCATTTTAGTTCAAAAGTTAAATAAGTGAATTGAAGAAGATCTGAAGAAGAACTACATTTTATACTAAAAAAATGTATTTTATTTACATTTTTTTTTCAAATGTAAAAGAAAGTCGCATTTTATTAAAATAAGTCGATAAAAGTCGTATGTTTGAAAGAAGTCGTATAATCCGAGGCCTGTAAACATATAATTTTCATTAGTATCATTTAATATGTATTAATATTCTAATAAATTAAATTATTATTGATAATATTAATCTTTAATTTCTTTATAACAAACAATTAAATATCCAATTTGGCGCGCTTGCGCGCGTTTAATTTTGCTAGTTAAATAATAAATTAATAATAATAATAATTATTATTATTATTACATAAAGTCAAATTTAAATTAAAAATTTTTTTGAAATAATAAAATGACGTTGTTAACTTCTTGCACGTTAAATAATTTTATGACTATTTCCATATCAATAATAATCTAGTGAGAATATTTTGAAATTCGAAATAATAATTTCCTGGCTATTTCCATCTGAAATCATTCACATGAGAATATTTTTAAATTCCAAATAATGCATTTTATACGATTTTTTTATTGTTTTTTTTTACTCCAAATAAACAGTCACGTATTTTTTTGTTTGACGAAAAAAAATTTCGTTGAATTACCAGTAATTAAAGAGTTAAGGGTAATGAGTAGTTTTTGAGAGCGAAATAGTTGAAATTTTTTTTCAAATCTGTCTATTATATTCAATAATCAACATTTTGCTCTTCTGTTTTTTGATTTCGGTAATTTTCTAGATGATCTATTTTCGTTATTTTGAAAATTAATAATATGGTTATTAATTTGATATTTTCATTTTGAGAAATTAGACAACAGAAGCAAATCTGGGCGACAAGGACTCTTTATTTTATGGTTATATTTTTTATATTTTATTTGCTTACAAATGTTTTCGGTTTCTATGAATTTTGTAAATTTCAAAGTGCAACCTGCAAGTGTTTACCAATTAAGGTTTAGAATTTCATTATTGATTCTAAAAGGTGGAAATAAATTTATACTAAACTTAAAACTGCTTCCAAATGCAAATAATAAAAATAAAAATGATATTTACATCAACTATCAATTACAGTATCTTTCTGCTAAGTTTTCATTTTCCTGATGGAACACAACGATAAAGTAGCAATGGCAGTAACAGCAAAGAATGAATTTTGCCGAGGTCGGAAAGCTTGCCTGATTTATTGAAGCGCGTCAATAAAAAATGACGAGTTGCACAAAGTTTCTACCCTCATCTGGAAGTTCTAAATCATCGCTAGGTTACTTTTCGTCCTAGGCAGGGTCGCTGTAGAGAGCGTAGATGTTGCGAATGTGAAAGGGATTGAACAAGTTCCTTCAAGAGGGAGCTATACTTGGCAAAGTCAATTTATTCGGTAAAATAATGCTGACGAAAAAGCGAAGGGATGAAGAAAGCGACTCCAACATCACTATATCACAAAAAAAATAATACTCACTTTCTAAATTCAGAAAAAAAAATTAAGTTTTCACACTCTTCAACAATATTGACAAATGAGAATTTCAAAATGGTTTTTCGCACATTGCACAATTACCGACTCTTGCGTGACAAAAAAAGAAGAAAATCCAGGCTCTCTTTTTTTTTTAGAGAAAGTTTTCTCGAAACTTTTGATAAAGCAAAAGGGGGTTAAATGAAATTTCTCTTCAGCGGGAGAGGAAGATGAATGGAATAAAAATAAAAGGGGAAAAGAAATGCCGCTGGTAAACTCGGAATAATTTCTCAATCGCGTAGGAATATACTCTCATACACTTTGAAAGAACACTTCTTTTGATGAAATTCTGAGAAAATGGCATGACCGTTTCTCGAGCCTTTCGAACCTAAAAGCGAGAGTGGGAAAACGCTTCGAAAAACTTTTTAGTCGAAAGTTGAATTAGTTAAGTTTGCCGTTTAGCTGGCTTTAGACGGGCCTGGATTAATTTCATTTGGAGGGAGGGTACAACGACTTTAGCTTTGGTTTGCTCTGGTTTCACGCGGAGTAAGCATTTGGCAGCAGTCACTACGATTTCAAAGTGACAAATTGGTTCTATTGGTTTTGGCCGTATCACATGAAAGAGACTCCCACAAGAAATTTCAATTCAAAACCACCGCCAAACTCCTCCTTCCGTCAATTTAATCCTTTTGAAACTGATTAAGTAATTATTCGAGGGCATCATATATGCATTCTCTGATTCCAGTTCTTGTAATTTTATTTCGTTATTTAAATGAATTACGACTATGCTCTTTATATTTATATATTGTCGTAGAGAAAATTTTTGATATCCAAAAGTAGTATCAAATTGATCTTAATTATTTGGATAATTTATATAAATAATACGGAAATTGGAATTATTTTCTGATATCTAAAATTGGTATCAAATTACAACTGTCATGAACGGTGTGTAGCTACTGAAAATTTTATGATTTGGTTTCTTAATTTCACTATATTTTTGACTATCGAGAACAATATTATTTTCAATAATTTCATTTTCATCCGCATTTATAGATTAATTAATCAAAAAAAAAAAAACTCACAGGAATAAATCTGGTATGTTTATTACACTGGGGAAAATTTTGCGAAATGCAAAATTAAATTTCCAAAATATTGGATTTTATTAAATCTCCATACTTCGTAAATATAAGATAAGATTTTTTGCATCTTAGCTCCCTTTCTTTAAAACGCGTATAATTGTATTTTATTAAAATTAAAAAGTAAATTAATAAGAATTGTTACTGATAGTTTATATTTCGTTCACAATATACAAGTAGAAAGTTAATAATAATTATTATTCTTAATAGTATTATTATTTATAATTTGATCTATAAATGTTCCTTATAAGGAACATCTCCCCCCTAGGCCACATTTTTGGTCTGCCATTGAACCCAAGAATTTGGAATGTAATTTTTCAAGCCATTAAAACGCAATGTACGAATATAATGTGCAAAATAAAATTTATACAATGCATTATTGCTCAAGTCCACATTGTGTTTTGAATGAAATTCATCAATTCTTTTGATATCCGAAGAAATATTAAAATCATTCTCTCCAACTCGTTTTAAACCGACACTTGTAACAACAAAAGTATTATGTTTTAATCTGTTATATTTTTTCGAATGAAGCAATAAACGACCTGGTTCATCATGAAACATATGAATTTTATCATCAATCATCAATTTATGGCTTACATTTATAAGCGGTTCATCCAACTGAGTGCCAAAAAATTTTGATTTAAAAATAACTAAACCATTTCGTTCTAAACTTATCGACAAATATAATTCAACTGCGTAAAATTTATGGGCATTTTCAACGAGTTGAGTTATACCTATCATCATATTTTTGTAGTTTATAAATATTTTTAAAAAACACTCATCCTTATAACCTAGTGCATAAAATTCATAATATGCCAAAGGTAAAAATTCTTTACTTCGTGAAATTTTATTTACTATCAAATGAATTTTTGTTTCTTTTGAAATAGTGTGATAGTCTATATTATTAATGTAAATTGTACCATTTGTTTCTTCGGCTATTAAAATAGAATAAACGTCGGCCTGTAATTTAATATTAATTTGTTTTCCAACAATAGTGTGACAATCGTTATTCAAATAAAGACAACAATTTGTGAGATCAACTGGTGATTCTATGGTAAAAGTAACATCAACTAATTTTTTCTTCATTTTTCGCATCAACATTAAAGGTAAGGATGGTCTCCAATCGTTTCCTCTACTCCTGGCTTTTAACTCTGTTGGCTTTATATTAAAATCAATGGCAGGCATTAAAGGATGACCAGTTAAAAGTCGAAATTCTATATCAGGATTTACAAAAGGAGCATTGATATTCAAATTGAGAACTTTTTTCAAAAATGGCAATACATTTACATTGTAAAGATCGAGAAATACTTCTAAAATTATTGGAATTACGTTAAACTTATAGTCATATTCCTTGGAATAGTAACGAATGTTAAATTCCCTAAAAGATTTATCAGTACCATCGTAGGCAAATAAAGTCATTAATAATTGTAGTTTTTTTTCAACACTCCACTGTACAAAAGATTTATTGCTTTGATAGAATTCTAGAATTCCATTTTTAACTGATTCTGACTGTTTATTGGAGTAAAATTTACTTTTGTAGAAGGAAGAAAAGATATTTGTCCATATTTCAGTAGTTGGTCCGAAACCAATCGTTCGTTGCCTTATGTCATAATAATGCGCAATTTCATGTAATTGAATCCATTCTTGAGCTCGTTTTTGTTGTAAAACATCGTCTACACCATAAGTAAGTGTTATCCAACAACTTTTATAAATTCCGCCCGCATATTTATTTATTTCTTTGCGAAAAAAATGCCTCTGCTTGTTTACTAAATAAAATGATAATGAATCATTTTTATCTACATATCGACTGGCACCTGTTAGATAATTGTAGTATTTTATTACATCCGCTTGATTTTGCAATCCAACAAATAAACTCAATTTCTCTGATAAGATTTCTTTAACATCGTTTGCTGACACTAACATTTGTGTTTGATAATTTTCAACAAAACCATAAGTTTGAATATTTCTGTAAAATTCTTGTTCAGGTTTGTGTGAGGTGAGAAAAGTTAAATTTCTCGAATCAAAAACAGGTAAAACTGACCAATTTTTAGTTTTAATTTTTACCAACACTGGTACATTGTATGATACTGTTAAAAATGGAACGCAGTCAAGATTTGTTGTTAAATCTCTTGTACTATTTTGTGTACCAGCAAAATTTATTTCGAGAAATTCTTTTGATCTTTCAAAAGGACAGACAAATATTAAATTTTCAATTGTTTTTGAAGATTCTATTGTTAGTGTAAATTTCGTATCTTTTCTAATTATTATTCCAAAGTGTTTTTTGTAGTGAAATAGTATTCCATGGTACATGTTATTTTTCCATGAATTTTCAAATTTTCTAACACTTGGCTTTACAATCCTTTCAGTTTCCTAAAACATATTTAGAAATTATTACACATTTTTTAGTTTTCAATTATAAAGTTCAGAAGTAAAACATATGTGCGACTCTAAGAAAAATTTATCGCATTATATACTGAATATAGTAGGTTTAATGTTTTGGTGAAATTTCCCTTCCCCGTAAGATCCGTATTTTATATAGTATAAAATCATTTTACATAAATTTTAGCGTGGTCCTTCTATAGAATTTAACTAGAATGATTGTCTACAAAATTTCTTTATGAATTCTGGTAAAAAATTTTACAAATTTTATATATATTTTCACGTGTCAAAAATCAGTGTTTATTCCTAAAAAAATTGGTTTTTCTATGAGGGGATTTTTACCGTACAAAATTATTAAGTTAAATAATTTTATTTAAATTATTTCACGTGGAATAATTCAACTAATGGTAAATTTCTCATCGGATCGCACCTATATTTAAAAAAATAATTATAAATAGAAAAAAATTTATATATTTATCCATACAGTTGGATTGAAAAAACAAACATCAAATGCAAAGTTACTATGATAATAATTTTACTTCTTCAATAAAACTTTAATTAATTACTTCAAACATACCACTTCGTTCCACTTTACTGGCAAGTCTGCGTTAGAATCATAAAAATAATGCAATAAATTTAAAATTGTCAATATTAACATTTTCGATGTTATATCGTTTACAGATTAATGAATTTTAAAAAAATGAAATATTTTACACATGTGCTCTAACAGCTTTCTTTTACGATAATTCCAATGTCTCATATTTTATAGCATTTCTTATTTACTTTAATTTATTATAAATCACGCACATTTATGAAGTATCATCTATATTCTTGTTGACTTTTTAGTAAAAAATATTCTATTGATTTAAATTTTTCGTCATATATTAATGTCAAATATTACAAAATTCTGTTAATTTTTTAAACACCTATGTAAACAGTAAAAAATAGAAATGGTCATTTCCTTGTCTAAAATTTTATATAAAAAAATATTTTTAATTTATTCTCATTTTTTATAGAGAGCTCAAATAGACATAGTAACATTTATATTCTTGTTGACTAACGAATAAAAAATATTCTAATATATTAGTTCAAATTTGATTTACGTCATCGATTATAAAAATTCTGTCGATTTTCACATAATATATGTAAGCAGTAAAGAATATAAAAGAAGTAAAAGTTAAGTAATTTTTATTGAAGTTGTTAAAAGGGGTAGTTACTAACGAAATAGTAAATTATGATTTCATTAATATTCATAAAATTGCTTCTAATATTTGTGTCGAGTACAATATCACAAAATACACTGCAATGGAATTTGAACGTAAGTTTTTAAAATATTAATTAAAAGATAAATCTTCTGCATCAGAATATGCATTTTACGTATAACTATAAATTCATCTTTTAGATGACTACACGAATTGCCGTGCCTTTAGTTCGAGAATTTTCGGAACCATGGACGAGTCATACAATTCAAAACCAATTCTCTCATTATAAAACTCATTTTGAAATCATAATTAAACGGAATACAACATTCAATTTAACACTAGAAACCTCTTCTCAAATACAAAATTTGTATTTTTACTGTCTTGCTGATTCTCCATATGAAACATTAAACATATTGGATCTTACGGGGAAGGAAAATTTCACCAAAACATTAACAGCAAATTTTGATTGCGTGCCTATGATATCTGTTTCAAATAATGTTCCAGTACGAATGATAATTGAAACCAAAAACTGGTTATCATTGCCAATTTTTGATTCTAATGATGCATCACTTTTCGAATCACAAGAATTTGAATTTGAATTTTACAAAAATGTACAAATTTATGGATTCGTTGAAAATTATTACACGCAAATGTTATTATCAGTAAATGATATTGATACTTTAAAGTCGTTAAAGTATAGTCTATATCTTGGTTTGGAAAATCAGATTGATATAATAGAGTATTATGATTATTTAACTGGTTTCAGTCCCTTCAACAGTAAAAATATTGTACCATCATTGAAATTAATTGATCGATCAACATTATTTATACGTTCAGAAAAATGTGACAAATACACTTTAAATCTAAATACACATACTTGTCCGGAAACGAATATGAACCTTCATTTTATATCTGCTATTAATAATCTAGACAGATTTTTACAACCCCAAAAAGGATTTAGTTGGATTTTATTGGAAAAGTTTGCTGAATATTACAACAGAAAAGAAAATGCTGTTGATTTTGGAGAAACATTTAAGTTGTGGAATGATATGTTTGCCACTTTATATCAACAAAAATTTGTAATGAAAAATCCAATGTTACAATCAGCATCTCCTTACAAGTATGAGAAAATTTCGAATTATCAAAAGGGAATCTACTTTACAGAATGGGGATACGAGGAAAAGTTAAATTTATTTATCAGTCTCTTCGGATATGATGGAACTGATACGAATTTACGTGAATTTCGTATTCGCCATATTCCGTACAATCAAATTACAACTGACGATTCTGTCGAATTAATTCCAACTATTCTTGAACTATTTCTTGACCTTTACGACATAAATTTATTGCCGTTTTTAAAGAAAGTCATCAAAGATATTTCATTAAGTCCCGAATTGGAACTACGAGTATTGAATGGACATCCTGTAATGCCTGCCATTGATTTTGGTATAAATGCTAAAAATTTGCCAACTATGAGCTATGAACGAGATTTAAGAAAAATTTCCCCTTTAATGTTGGTGACAAAAATGAAGAAAACATATGTTAACGTTACATTTACCATTGAATCGACAATTGATCTCACAAATTCTTGTCTATATTTGAATAATGATTGTCACAATATTGTTGGAAAACAGGTGAATATCAAATTATTGTCAGATGTTTATTCTGTTTACGTGGTAGAAGAAATTCTTGGTAATACGTATATCAGTGACGTAAAGTATCATACCATTTCACAGACTACGTTTATTAATGTTGAAGTAAGAGAAATTCAAAAAGGCAAAACATATTTTCCCTTGCTTCATTATAGATTTGATGCTCAAGGTTTGGATAATAAGGTATTTTTACAAACATTTATAAATTACAAGGACATGAAATTATCTTTAAAACAATTAACTAATGCAATCTATGATGAGAATGAATATTTTTCATTAAACTTAAAACGAAATGGCTCTACTGTTATGAAATATAAATTTCCTAATAAATCGCAAAATCAACAATTGCTCACAAATGATGTACTCAAGTTTGAAGTTAATGATGAACTACTCATTTACCATCGCGAACCTAAACGTCTAAAGTTCAATTTGGAAGGTTATAATAATTCAATAGCGCAGAATAATATCTTTCTTTTTACAAATGTTGGTTTAGACAAAATTTCAAAGAAAATAGAAAATTTAAAATATTCATTTGATGTTTTAGGCTTATCACATAGGAAATTCTTGAAAATAATTATAAATTACGAGACTATGACAATAAGCTTAGAACAATTGTTAAAAGATGCCCATAAGTATTTTAAAGGCGAATTATATTTTTCGATTAGTTTAGAACGAAATGATTCTTCCATTTTTGAATACAAATTAAATGGCACTCAGGAAAATAAAAAACCTCTTATAAATGTAAAACATAAATTGATTGTTAATGATAAAATTCATATTTTTCATAATGAACCAAGTCGTCTATGGCTTCATTCGAAAAAATATAATACAGTAAAACATAATACTTTTGTCGTTACAAATGAGGGTTTACTTCCAAATAATGACTTGAGTAATAAAATAATTTCTGCAGATATTAAAAGAATTGATAAATTTAATTCAGAATACAATATTGACTTAAGCTACAATGCATTGTATCAATATTATTTTGCAAATTACATTCGCACATTGCGGGTTAATGATTTGCAAGTTTACATGCCATTGAATTGGCTTTAAAGTCAGATTAATTAGGTCTAATGTAAATTGTTTACATAAACTATAGATTTCACTGTAATTAAGTGTTTTTTAAACAATATTAATAATTTAATTAATTTATGTTTAACGTGCATATGAAATATATAATTTGAAGTAAATATAAAAACTACATCTCTGTCAGATTATTCATTTCCATATACACCTTCATATTTTTCCCATATACAATGGTAGATGTTCCGTTGAGAGTTAAAATAAGTAAAAATAAAATTTAGAATAGCTTATTCTCAATCTTTTTCTAAAGGTAAAAAAAAGAAAAATAAAGTTGTAAATATTATCGCAAGAAAAGCATCAGCATCTGCAACAATTGTAAAACTTTATATTGAGCCATAAGATATAATTCCAAATTTGTCAAAACTTATTTTGGATCATCTTGCATTTTATAACTTTAATCCTCTCATTGTTAAGATAGGTCTGTTGAAATTATTTCGAAGATAAGAGTACACTAATAAAATTAAAAACCTAACCTCTCCACTTGCAATTATACCAGGGTCCAAAAACCCTACAAAATATACCTGTACTAAACACCATGTTACCAACACATTTTGAGCACTGTACACAAGCTACCAATGTAATCTTTGACTACGACGACATGACACTTTTCCATAATCGTTAGAACCATTTCTGCTCTCGCTTGAGTAGGATCGAGCAATCACTTTTTCACAAATATTAATTCATCGGTGTACTCAATTTTTACCAACATTCAAATAAATAAATAAATTGTAATTTTTTAAATTATACATGTACATTGTCTCACTTCATTTAAACAGCCAAGCAATTTTCTATTAAATGTTTCTTTGCATGAACAGTAAATTTTTGAATTTGATATTGCGACTTTTCAATTCACAATTTTATTGTATTCTAATGAAAATAAATTTGAATGTGAAAATATTTAAACAAAAATATAGTGAAATTTTCAGTAGCTGCACACCGTTCATGACAATTGTACTTTGATACCAATTCTAGATATCAAAAAATATTTCCAATTTTCGTATAATTTCTAAAAATGATCCAAATAATGCGGATCAAATTAATACAATTTATAAGTATCAAAACGTTGCATAATTTGATCTAATTTTTAGGATGAAATTGATACCCTCAAGAAAAATGTGTAACGAATCGAAACATGGTGTGAATATATCGTTAACGTAATTTTTTCCGCAATCCCTCGGGTAATTTGTTTCGGATAACATGGAGTTTAACTATAGTCGTAGACCCAATTTCTGGCTAGCTTTTTTTAGCCCTAGTCCTTTAGTGTTTTTCTTTTTTTTCTATACTATAGGTGAATTTTTAGTATAGGGGGAAACTACTATATGTATTGAATGGCCAAGACCAATTTTACGCAGAGCGAGCAGCTCAGTCCACCATGACTTCTAACCTTTATTCTCAATCTCCCCATCACCACTTTAAAACTATTTTTTTTCTTTATAGCGATATGCACATTTAATAAGAATAGAATAACTAAACGTGTAACCTATTTTTTTACAATAATTTTTGTCTTTTCAATCATTACGAAAAATTGAAAAAAGATTTTTTACCTGTTAGATACTGAATCTGAAAAATAGAAATAAATTACGTTATAAAATATTTATATTTAAATATTCTTAAGTCAGGTTTATGTTTATAAAATAAGATAAAAAAAAGTAGGAAAAAAATCTTCACCCTGTTCCTGCTAATACATTATTTTAGAGAAGTTTTTTTATAAGAAACTGTAATTTATTAATATAGGTATAAAAGAAATATATTTTTTTGTTAGAAGGCTCAGGTAATATTTATAT